TTTTCTTTTGGAAAAAGTCACTGGTCAAAAATCCTTTTACAAAAATGTCTTTTAACCTTATGAATAATCCCAAACACCCCTTAATCTTCATTTTCTCTCTATTTCTCTTTATCTCTCTCTACCTCTCTCTATATTTTAATTAATTAAAAATATATATTTTTTATTTTAATAGTAAAAAAATAAAAGAGATATAGTGGTGGGTATTTCATAGGTTTAATGGTTGGATGTGATGATGATGTGTCACCCACCTGTCCACCACTATAATGGTTAGTGGTGAGTATTACAGATGACCCTATGAGTATTTGTTTTAAAATAAAAGTTTTAAGTTCATATTTTCAAACAAAATTTTCTTTTTTAAAGTTAAATATTTTGGGCAAACAAAATTTTCTTTTTTAAAGTTAAATATTTTGGGCACTCAAAAACTCATTGCCAAACACATCAATACTAATAAAAATAATAAAGTCACAAAATAATGATATCTAGTTTTTTACATCTCATTTAGATGAATATTTCTTCCATACATACGTCGCCACTTCAAAAAAATGTCATGTTTATATTATATGGGGATAAAAACAAGGGAAAAATACAAAACTAACCATTTTTCCTAATTACTTATCAAAAAATAGCCAAAAAAACTCACTTAGCCAAAAATAGTCCACAAAAGAGTAGTCAACTTTTGGTTGACTACGGTCAACAGAGGATGACTACGGTCAACGCCCGTTGACTACTCTTTTCCCCTAATGGGCTACTGTTTCAAGGGGCCGTTTACTTTTTCGTGGCCCATTAGCCCAAAGTATATAATGAAATTTTTTTCAGATTAGGTCATTTTCCTATTGTTTTTTTTGTTTGGCTACGTTTTTCTCTCAATGGAACACCCGAAGAACAACCAGGTTTGTCTACTTTTCTTAAAAATTTTACTGTGTTTGTGATTAGGAGTAGGTTTTGTTTATGGGGATAATTTTTTTTTTAAAAAAAATTGAAAAAAAAAAATATAAAACCGTAGGTTTCATATGAAACCTACGGTGTACAAGTGCCCAATGCACTGTTTGTGCAGTGTCGACTTGTACACCGTAGGTTTCATATGAAACCGTATGGACGTTTTTTTTTTCGTTTTTTTAAATGGTATCAATAGAATAGGAATTGGATGTATTTTGTTGTGGTATAATTTTTTTTTTAAAAAAAAAAGGGAAACCGTAGGTTTCACAAAAAAACCGTTTTTTTTTATTAAAAAAAATTTAATAGCCAATAAACATTTGTAAACCCTTGTATGTATCTTATGATTTTTGTTTGGAAAAAAAAAATCGTATGTTTTTGCGAAAACCCCAAAAAATAAAAAAATAATAAAAAAAAAACCGTAGCTTTTTTTGCGAAAACCGTAGACTACGGTTTGGGAAACCGTAGGTTTTAAAAAACCTACGGTTTTGAATGTCAAAAATGAAAAAAAAAAAATTATACAAAACGCGAAACAGTAGACGAAATGGCGAAACAGTAGACGAATCTCGAAACCTACGGTTTCGTGGGCTATTTTTGGCCATTTGCTAATTTTTGGCTAAAAATTGATAATTACCCCCTTAATTTGGCTAGATTAGTAATTAGCCCTAAAAACAAATTGATTTTCTTGATATATCTAATCAAAAATTAAATTTAATATAACAATATCAAATATCTGCCCAACATATTAGTTAAATGTCATATATTATAAATATATAACAATCATCCATATAAGTATGATATATAACGTCTTTCTTTTGAAAGTTCATGCTTGATCTTAAAGCAAAATGTAGAAGATGACTTTAAAAAAAAAAATCAAACTGTTTCTAAGCATGCAACCTAAATGACAATATGATATATCTAGAAAAATATTAAATGTGGCACCAGATATGAACGTACAAAAAACTTGATTTAGAGTAAAATATTGTCATTTTACATACACCTATCCAAATAATAAACTCACGCTACGATGAATTTAATGAAACATGGTTACAAAAGAAAATGAAGGATAGCAGTAGCACTCTAGCAGACTCCTAAAGAAATAAATGAAGTCATTTTGGTTACAATCACATCACCATATGTCGATCCTTTCTCGTTTGTCTTTTCTCACAGTTAACAATATCTAAACATGGAAACCTGTAAAGGTATGTTTACACAATGGACATCAATATAGCTTGATTCTTTTTATGTCTGATAATTATTGATCTAGAAAAATAAATTGGTTATCCTGTCAATAATGATAACTTGTTTACTTCTCTTGTTTGTGAGGCTGCTATTTAAGTATTTTCATAAACGATATAGTTGAATTAAAAAATATATTGCAATTTAAACAATAGTAAACTCAAATTTTTAAACGATAATATAAGTATATAATGGGAGTCCGACAAGTCCGGATTGATATAGGCGTGTTTGACAAACTAGCTAGTAGTTGAAAGTTGGAATTTATAACTTTTATTTATAAAGAAGTGTTTGTCAAAATTAATTGTTAATTTTTAAGTGTGTAAAGTTAGGCCCCGTTTGATAGTTGCTGACTGAGAAAGTGCTGACTGAGAAATGTCTGTCTAGGTAAGAAATCTTGGCTGAGTAAGAAAACATGTTGTTTGATTGTTCATCTGATTGAATGTGCTGATTAATGAAAAATGACAATTTTATCCTTTGCTCTATAAAATTTGCTCTATACAGTGATGTTAAATTACACACAGATCCTTTAAAAATCCAAATAAAAATTATAAAAAGAGTCATTGTTTTTATAAAGTTATAAATAAATTCATTGTTTTTCTAACAATTCAAACAATTTATTCATTGACCAAAATTGATACAGAACAACAGTAAACATAAGAATAACACTTTGACCAAATTGCCCCTGCTCCATTTTTATTCTAGACCATTCCATGAGCATAGAACTTTGAAAAATCTTGCTTTCCTTGAAAAGAAAAAGATCGAATTGCCCTTTAGACAAAACCGTATAACTCCAACTCTTGAACAATTATAAAACATACTAAAAATTATCATACTAATATTTCTTAACTAAAACATATAACCCTATAGAAGCTTTATTGATCGAATAACCTCCAATTAAAGACTCTTTTTCCAAATTAAATAAACTCATCAGGTGGTGATAATGTAGTATTGACGCATTGAATGAGTGACTGTTATGACATAAAAGAAACATTTAATGGCAATTACAATTTATGACCAACATAAGCAATATCTCACCGAAATTAAGAATCCAAATAAGCTTCTCACAAAGAAAAAATGCAGACTGAAAAGGGTGTTTCAAAGAACTCAATTACACAAAATCGGCAGCTTAATTGAGCATATAAGGATATAACCAACAAAGTAAACTTTTCACCCTTCAAGAATTATAAAATATTAGACGAAACAATAAATAATTCATAAATCGGTTCAATAAAACAAACACTTGACGATTTTCAAACAAATTCACCAGTTCAATAAATTATCTGAGAGCAGCAACAAGAACATACCCAATTCATAGAGATCGTTATTTAGAGCAAAAACAATTCTGATTTTAGAGCTTATAAACAAAGAACTTCTAATTTTAAAGGTTATGTAGTAATTAGGAGGATGAAGATCTTACTTGCCGGAGAAGATGAAGATCCGACCGAAGGAAGGAGGAGGAGATCCGAAGGGAGATGCAGCGATTGGGAGGGAGCTGTCCGTTGAAGGCGATGGAGGACGATGTCTCTTTTAGGTCACGAGAAGAATTATTGAGGGCATGAGTGTCTTTTGGGCGAGCCAGCAACTTCTTCACATCTGACCGAGACATACATTTGGGCCAGACAATCTAACTGAGACAGCCCATATCAAACACAAATGTCTGACCGAGTAAGCTGAAACATCTGACCCAAACCGAGTCAGATGGGTATCAAACATGCCCTTAGTTAAAAGACTAAGCTCCCAAAAGCTTAATTTAACATCAATATTTAATGGAAAAATAATAAAATTATGTGGTAGAAATTTATAAAAACCATAGTTATATGGGAGAGCTTATAATTTTTTGTGTTTTTTTATTAAAAAAATGCTTAACCTATTTATGGCTCAATTGTGGCCTTACGAAATTGAACACCCCATTACAAATGGTCAAAATGGTTTATTAGAGTCTACTAGAAATTGTTGGTTGTCTTTTAAAATTTCTTATATTTTACAGAAAACTATAAATTTAGTCTATGCGTATGTCGTTTTTTTTTTAAGTTTTGTTCCTTATGATTTTAAAATTACAAATTTCATCATTTTCATTAGTTGTGTTGTGGTCCCTTCCCTAATTGAAATGATTAACTTTCTCTCTTGGTATTTTTTTATACTTTTTTATTTAGTTTAAAGTTTTATAAAGTAAAAAATTGGGTTTGGATTATTTTTGGTCACTTAACTTTTGATTTTGTGTTCATTTGGTCACTTAATTATTTTTAAGTTTAAAGTTTCTCTCTTGAAAGGAATTGACTTGTAGTTTAAGGTCACTAGGCTAGTGTAGTTTCCACTCGCATATGGTATTGCTCAATCAAATCACGATAGACCAAGCTTCATTAAGCTTTTGAGCTTTCCAATCTCTTGTGGAATCAATCCAATTAAATGATTTTGAGCAAGATTTAGGGCTATCTATAGGACCTATAGTTGAAAAGGCTCAAAATCTCAAATGGTATTCGCCATTGGGCCAAAATACATTTGATTTTTTTGGGTTTAATTTATGTGCATAAATGGAAATTAGAACTTGTTGCTTGTATCTGTGAATCAAAAATCAAAACCAAAAACTGAGCATCGATTTCTTATGAATTTGATCTTTTTTGTCCAACTATTTGCATCTTTATTTTCATCCTCCAATTCATCCATGGATTCATCATTATTGTCGTACATATCCCAAGAGACCTTTCCTAAATGCTAAGTGCATCATTAATGTTACAAAATAGGTTCATGTCATTTTTCTAAATAGACGAAGGTTGAGTTGGACCATTGTCGTTAACTAATGGAATTCTCTTAAAAGACGGTTGTTGGCCATGTGTAATGTCATAGTATTGGCAACGTCCAAGCACATAAACGGCGTCGTAGCGAATGTTAAAAAGACTAGTACAAAAGACAAGACCACGAGTACCACGTGGTCACATCTCATTGATCACTCCCTACACCAGAGAACACACCATCAACATTCAACGGCAACCAAACCAACGGTGTTGATACAACTTACAAGGCACCTTCTCTTCTCGCGCCTAAAATTTACGAAATTTTCTCCCTTAATCGGTAAGTTCTCAATTTCCGTTCCACAATTTCATTTGTATGTAGTTAAACCCTCGTAATTTCTACATTCATAGGGATTAATTTCATGAAAGAGCTGCGAATCTTGCTGTTTTGTTGAGAAACGTCGTTATGATTTTGTATTTTTAGGGTTTTCGTACTGGAATGGCGGAAGGTCCGTCGAGTCCAGGCGAGAGTGGGGATCTGAGCCCGAGGTCGTCGAACGTGAGGGAGCAGGACAGGTTTTTGCCGATTGCGAATATCAGTCGGATCATGAAGAAGGGTTTACCGGCTAACGGGAAAACTGCTAAGGATGCTAAAGAGACTGTTCAGGAATGTGTTTCTGAGTTCATCAGCTTTATCACTAGCGAGTAAGTATATCAATTTGTAAATTGTAATTAAACTTTTTGTCTGTGTTGATTTCAGTTTCATGAACTCCAAAGTGTTTAATTTCTTCTATATAATGGCTGTTTAATGTTTAGGGCAAGTGATAAGTGTCTAAAGGAAAAGAGGAAAACCATTAATGGTGATGATCTGTTATGGGCAATGGCCACACTAGGGTTTGAAGATTACATTGAACCACTTAAGGCATACCTTATTAGATACAGAGAGGTAATGTTTTGTTTCTTTACAAGTCGTTTGGAAATTTGATGTAAAGTAATTATTACTAACGAGTTGATGTTTGCACTTGTTTCCATTCTTGATTGGATTACTGTCGCAGATTGAGGTTTGTTAAGCTTTGTTGTTTGATTTTCACATAAAGTAACATTGATTAATTTAATTATCTGTTCATAAGATGATTGCTTCATTTGAAATGAATCCTGTTGAAGGGTGACACCAAGGGATCTGCTAGAAAAGAAGGGGTGCAGCTGCAGCCTGAGCCTAATGAAGGTTTTTATTCACAGGGTCTGAGTTATGGTGACTCACAGGTATTTCATCTCTTTCTGTCTTTCGCTCTCTCTCCTTAAGCATCAAAACTCACAAAGAAGAGATTAAGGATATGTTCAACAACGAGGTTTTGAGAATTTTAGGAGCTTTTAGCTTTTAACTTTAAAAACTCGAATTAAATATAAAGCTAAACTCATAATCCGATATTTCATTTACACCTCTTAAAACCTTACAACTACGGTTGACAACAACTTCTTCATAAATAAAAGCTCTAGCTTCCAGCTATCAGATACCAGCTACCAGTCATTGCATTGAATTCACTAAGCATTTGGATGAAATTGGAAGCTAACTTAAATTTGTTGACTGAAATTTGGCAGCAACAGGGTCAACACTTGATGGTCCCAATGCAAGGGATTGAGTAGTAGTAATAGTAGCATTTCAGATGAAATTCTTGTAACCTCAAGTGTGTTGTTGAGCTATATATGTATTGCTTATTTGCTTCTAGAGTATATATATATATATATATATATATATATATATATATATATATATAATGAGGTGTTTCCAAAGTTAGGCTTCTTAGTATTTGTTATATCAAGTTAAAAAGACTTGAAATTTAGGACTTGTATTTGGATATGGGAAAAGAGGTATTTTAAATCCAATCTTTGGATTTTGTGACACATATCATATTTTATTTATATATACATAAAAGCTTAAAAAGTTGGGGAGCAGTATAGTTTATTCTCTTTCTTAATCAGACACTGGACTTTTCCCTTTTTGTTTTTGGGACACCGATCTTTCATTCTGCTTCTTTTAGTTTCCCTTCTGTTGAAAGCGCCCCAATACTCTCTTTTTTCCTTTCCTTCTTATCCCTTTTCGTCGCCACCTTGCCGCCCTCCTCCTCCAATACAATTTCGTTCACTTTTCATTATTTCCTCCTTCTTCCTTTTTTACTTTTCGTTGTTGTTCTGTTCACTTCTGCTTCTCCCCGACCGCCATCGAAGGACCAGTGCACCGCCACTCTTTCGTTCCCCTCACACTACATCGACAACAATAGAAACTTAGCAAGGTGTCGGTGTTGGCGAAGGCGATCGGTGGAAGTGGTCAGGTATCTCACCCCTAATTTTGGATTTGAAGTAGCTTAGAGTTTGATTTTATTGTAGCTTCGCTGATGAGGGTTTCTCACCAGGACCGCCATCGATGAAAAAATCCACAACAATCGGCATTCAATACTCACTCGATTGGTCCTGCAAGAAGCAATTCCTTCTGTGTCTGTCTCGGTTTGAACCAACGACGTAGACGTTGTATCCGATTTTCTACTTCATCACTGCTCAGCCACATCAAAGAAAGGTAATTTCATTTTTACTTTTTTGTGTTTTTAATCAGATTTTTGTGGACCTACTGCTTGTTGTGTTGTACCCTTAGACAACTTTTGTTCGCATCTGTTAGATTTTATTTGATCTTTTCTTTTGTTGAGCATAACAGATGTGCAATCAAAGCGAATCACCATTCCACTTTACTTCTTCACACCTGTAGGTAATTGGAACGTTCTATCTGCTTGGTTTTTCTTTTGACTTTCGTTTTTAGTTCTTTCTTTCACCATCACTCATATTTGTTATAGACAAGGAGCTCCGCCTTTCTCTTTCTTAGTGAAATCAGATGAATTATTGTGGAAACACCCATACATCCACATCCCATCTGGTAAGTTCTCTTACCATTATTTTCTTTCTCCTATACTCTGGATGTAACAAATTCAACTTTCATATCGTATATCTTACTATTCTAACATAAGACAGTTCCAACCAACCATATGGGTTTCATGTTCAATACGGTTTTGGGCATGTAATAACAGAAAAAAACCCTCCCCGAATTGTAATATTTCTAGGTTCAACAGATAGATTACAAATGTCAATATAATAGTAAAACTGAAAGTATACCAATGAAACTATATTTAGTGTTTTAGATCACATACCTGTATATTACTCTTGTCTTTTGTTTGTATTTTGCAGCCACATAAAGAAGAATTTTTTTGTTTAAAATGACTTCAAAAGGTAAATTGTTTACTAAGTTTTCAGAAGAATTCTTATTTTTTTTAGGTATATCTGGTGTAACAGAGTTACGCACACAAACTATTTGTAGAAATGCCACACAATTTCTCTATGTTTATAGATGCATGGTTGGAGTAATTCTTTCCTGGGCATTGTTCAGGTAATATTCTTGCCTCTTTTGCCCTTAGATGATTAACGTTGACTTTTTGTTACATAGAATGATTGATGATATTTGAACTTGCTCTTCTTATCAGCTTTGCTCGCCACATGTTCGATGAAATGCCTTTGAGGCATTCATAACGATTGTAAGCAACTCATGACCGTCCTGCCTCTGGAATTGGTATATTTTCAATTTTTTTTATTCATTTTATAGGGTTTAGACTCCAATTAACCATTCAGAACAAACGAGCAATCAGTTTGCATTGCAGGTTCCGATTGGTTTATTGGTCACTGATTCGATTTTTGATTTTTCAATTTCTCATAGTTGTGTGCTTATTGTTGTGTTCAGGTTCTGTTGGATAAATCGGATATTGCTGGAAAGGGAGCATGTGTGAAGGTAGGAATCAAGTTGAGTTAAGGGTGTTTTGAAGTAAACTGATGTTTTGTTTTTCCGTCTGTACAATTTTGTGTGAACAGAATTCACTATCTTGGAGAGTACAAAGGACAACTGCTTAGGAGCTTCACAAAGGTACTGCCTGAAATTTCAAAGGTAAATGAAGGCGCATATACTTGCTCATGGTGGATTGTTAGGGTGTTCCAAAATTTCGGATGACATCTCAACAACTAAAAGCCTGTGTAGCCTCTTTATACTGAAACAGGTCATCATCCTCTTCAAACAGCTGATAATCCCGAAGCTTCTGAGATTATAAGAAAGATTGAATCTTATAACCGAATCTTTGGTTCACATTCAACAGGACTAAGCCAGGTAACTAGTGATTATAATTTCCACCAAAAAGATAAGAAAGAAACTAATCATATTTCTTCAAGATCCGTATTCAAAGTCTTTTTTTTTTTTTTTTATGGAATTCTTTGATCAGGTGGCATTGCAAACATGGTGATCTCACAAATGCCCTTGTATTGTTCAACGAGATGCAAACACAAGGGATGTATTCTGATCCAAGTATCTTCATTATCATCATTACTCGCTTAGGAAAACAGGGGAAGTGGGATATAATAAAGAAAAACCTTGAGCAAATGAAAGATGGAGGTCATGGACAAATGAAATACAATCTTTTTTGGTTATTTCGACCTTATACACCATATTTATAAGTAATTTTCTCAACAAGGTGGTCCTGATGACTCGACATTTCCTGTAGTCAAGCACCAAGCTCAATTCTCTGTTGCACATGCATGTTCTAGCAAGGTACATAACTAAATTTTTTTGATATTATAACAATATATTTTATATATTTTTACATAAAACAATTATGTGTTTATCTGCACCCTGCTATACATGTTATCACTAATACTTAACTGGTTTTGAAAAAAAAAATACATAAACCAAACTAATAACTTTTTTCTACCTGTACCTTTGTCAGCAGCCCGGAAACCTCCTCCCTGTCATATATACTTCTGCCTGTTGAGGGCAGAAGTCACCATTCTTGAAGATTAGAGGTCAGGGATGTTGAGGTGGATAAAGGAGCCACCATGACAAAAAGATCAAAAATACACAAGATGAAGTGAATAATAACAGGCCAAAAGAGAGTAATAATGACTTACCTGTGACGTGGAATACCACCGAAGGAGGTATGAAATTGTCAAAGTATCTCTCTTTCGCTCTCTCTCTCTCTCTCTCTCACACACACACACTAATTACAGGAATCATGGTATTGTTTTTGTGGTGATTTTTAGGCTTCAGGAAGAGGAAGTAAGGATTATTGCTTGTGAGAATTTACAGAATGCAACAACAGAGGCATCCATTCACAAACTTGAGGTTTGTGAATGAAATTTTAATTTTTTTATTATGAATGATTCTTTTTTGTATGTGTAGTATTAAAAATGAGTGATTTCTTTATAAAATGATATAGCAGGGGAGGATAAAAGGCATGGCCTTCGAAGGGTACTTTTCAAATTCACATTTTCCTTCTTGGGTTTTGTGTTATTTATATGTTATTGTGTTAAGGGTATAATCGCCTTTTCCATATTTCATGTTGATCAGGCTTTAGGGCAGACATCAGATTGGTTTAGTAGAAGTAAATATAATATTATCTATTAAAATAGCTTTAATTATTTTGGTAGAGTTAAAACTAATATAAGAATATATTTGTGTTTTGTTTTTATAGACTTGCATCAACATTTTAATGAATATGGGACGAAAGAACGTCGAATTGTGGGCATCATGCATCTAATACAACGAACACCTGTAAGTTGAATTTTGCACTTATCATTCTTTTCACCTGTTTAATGTTTATTTGGTGTTTTTTGATATATCAATGTACTTTCATATGAGTTTTCAATTTCATCTTTAGTGTAATTTACTCTTATCTCTATTACCTTTTCTAAAATACATATCTCAAATTATTTTTTAAAATCATTTTGTTGCTATCAGATATATCACATTTTAGTACCTCCACCGGTTGACCCTGATGACAGTTGCCACAGTCGGTACAGATGCCAGCCGAGCATTCAAAACTATGCTCCCAAACATATTTAAGTACTACAAGGTATTAGATATATGATATTCCATCCCTACATGTAATGTGCTCCTATGTTTACTGCATCATTCCAGATCCATTTTTTGCTAATGTAGTGGTCTGATGCGATCATCTTTTGCTAATCTACTCCTTACTATGTAACTGATATCAACATCCGTTCCATATATGTAATATCCTTTCATAAATATTATAATATGGTTGCTTATCTACTACAGTTTCAAATAATGAAAGAAAACAAGGTACACAGCGCCAACGGCGCATCTAATTCCATCTAGTTAGAATTAATTTACATGAAATTAAATTTAAAAAATGCATTTTTTTAACGAAAAAAACAACTAAAATGTAAGCCTAGTGCCATTGATGAAAGACGAAAACTCTTTTATTTGTCACATCAATTTTGTAGTGGGATAATGACTTAAAAGGGTAACATATTATTCGATTTGTACACATTTGGTCACTGAGTTTTTTTTTCATCCACATTTACCCCTTAAACTTGTTAAACTGTACACATTTAGTCCTTATGATCTGTTACTCTAGGTTAGCCGGGAAAAATGACTTGATAGGGTAATATATTTTTCATTTTGTACACATTTAGTCCTTAATATTTTTGTACATATTTAGTCCTTAACATTTTTTTTTGTTTCAAAATAAGTCCTTCTTTTGTACTTATTCAGTACTTATGAATGATTTCTTTAGGTTTTTTTCACGACATCTTACGTGAGACAATCATTGATGAGGTGTTTGGGGTTGTTGATGCTTATGTCCAATGCGATCTCGACTGCTTGGTTGCGTAAGTCTTGTGGTTTGGCTTAGGTCTTGTATTTTGAACATCGTAACTTCTTCATACGATATCAGATTTTAATGATCTTTATCCACGTGTTCATTTTTTGAGTCTACTACAACTTTCATTAAGATTACTCCCGTTAAAATGTAATATATTTTTACTAATGATTTTATAAAAAAAACATACATACATGCATTCATAAAAAACGTATATAGACAGGGGAAGACGCAGTAATACATAGTAGGTGTTGCCGAGATGAAATAGGTGTTGCCGATACATGGAAAATAGATATAAACGTAAAAAAAAGCGAAAAATTTTCCACTGCGAACAGAAAAAACAGGTGTTGTCGGTGCAACACCGGGACCATACTAAATCCGCCACTGCGTATGGATATAAAAATCGTAAGTAAAAATATATTATTTTTTAATGGGAGTAATCTAAATGAAAGTTGTAGTAGACTAAAATACGAACGCATGAATATAAAGATCGTTAAAATCCGAGATTATATGAAGAAGTTATGACGTTCAGAACACATGACCTAAGCAACTAAGTAGTCGAGATCGCGATGGATATAAGCATCAAAAGCCCCATACACCTCATTAATGAATGTCCCACGTAAGATTTTGTGAGAAAAAACTAAAAAATCATTCATAAGTACTGAATGAGTACAAAAAAAAAATGACTTATTTTGCAAAAAAAAAAAAAAGGACTAAATGTATACAAAAATATTAAGGACTAAATGTGTACAAAGTGAGAAATATATTACCCTATTAAGTCATTTTTACCGGGTAACCTGGAATAGCCGGTCATAAGGACTGAATGTATACAATTTAACAAGTTGAAAGGGTAAATGTGGACGAAAAAAAAAACTCAGTGATCAAATTTGTACAAATCGAAAAATATATTACCCTTTTAAGTCATTATCCCATTTGTAGTCATATGGTTATTATTATGTACATTATAATTCAATACCAAGATATTGACTTTAATGACCACACAAAAATAAAAAATTGTATAACTATATTTTACGAAATATCATGACCATGATCTTCAAAAAGGGCATTTTTAAAAAAAAATTAATAATAATAAGATTTGTCGAAGTGATCTATGATTATCTGATTATTGAAATACGATTATTACATAAAGTTATTTTGAAAATAATTTTATCAGAATTTTCAAACCTGTGTCTCACTTTTTTGATTATCTGATTATTGAAATACGATTATTACATAAAGTTATTTTGAAAATAATTTTATCAGAATTTTCAAACCTGTGTCTCACTTTTTGTAAACATTTTTTTTACTAATTTAGAGGAAAGTATAGTTTTACACTTTTACTCCTTTAGATATCCACATTTGTACAGGTTTTGTTCTAATTTTAAAAAAATGATAGTAAACATCCTTACGGTTTCTAAATCCACCTAGTGTGGTCCCTTCAACCGTTATCATCTGTATGACTCCGTTAAATGCATATGAAATAAAAAATTAATACCAAACATCCTTAAACAATGGTATAATAGTATTTTTCAAGTTTATTAGATCAAATCAATAAAAAAAATGTTTTAGACTAGTGGTGAAAGTTAAAAAATATTCTGATATTATCCACTATTTTCAGCAAACCACAAGGCCAAGTTTGAAGTTTACTCAAAATCCTATGGCAAAAGTTTGTTTAGGAGCTTGTAAATTACAAGATTTTGTCATGAGATTTTTCAATGGGTCTTAAATGTTTTCAACAATTAATATAAACAAAAAAAATGATAAAAACAAAATTAATTTATCTCGCAAATAAACAAATTGAATCAAATAATTGTTATATAAATATATATTTATTTAAATTTTTAGGATTTTTTATAATAGTAGAAAATAGAGAATTAAAAACCTAGCCTAATATTTTACTGATTTTTTAAAAAATAGCTAAAAAACTTAAGATTTTTTTTTTCGAAAATAGTCACTCAAATGGCCAGATGGCTTGGCTCACCTATTTCATACCCTCTAGGCTCTATGGCTTGGCTCACCTATTTCATACCCTCTAGGCTCTAGCTGTGATTTCCTCTTTTTGGACTACAATTTAGCCCCAATTTCAGCCAATGGCCCAAAAATAAGGTGTAGGTATAAAAGTTTTTTTTAGACTTTCTTCTTGAAGTAGTAGATGGTAACTTTCCTCTTATCTAAGGCTATATCTAAGGCTATGTTTGGCGTACTAGCTGAAAAGCTAGCTGATAAAAAATAACGTTTGGTAAAACTAGCTGAAATATATAAAATTACATAAAAAGACATGTAGGAGTATGTGTTTCTATAATTAATTAAATGGTGTATTTGAAATTTTTTTTTAAAAAAACTCTTAAAAAGCTAGTCTAAGTAGCTTTTTAAAAAGCTAGCTTATAAGCTACTTTTTTGCTTGTCAAACACGACAACATAAAAAAGCTCGAAAAATAAGCTAGTTGTGGCGCGCCAAACACAGCCTAACTGTTATTTCCTCATGAATTTTAGGTAACTTTTTTATGTTTCCAATAAAATTGTAAGAATACAAAGTTATTAAAAATTACAACTTAGAATTCTTTTATATTAGTTCCGTTGTGTTTTCAAAACCGTTTTTTTTTTTTTTTAACGAATTTAAGAATTCTAAACAATAAAGCAACAAAGTTAGTAAATTGAAAAAGTTAATGATTGGCTCCTAGATTGGAATGAGCATATAAATTTGACGATACAAAAACAATCGACACTTCTGTAAACTATACTTTTGTAAGGCTATTGATAACTTTTGTAAATTTTTGTACTTAGAAAAGACTGTCCCTTTGGAAACTTTTGTCAACAATGATGCACATTTTTGTATTTTGCTTATTTTGGTGCAGCGATAAAATTGAGTCATAAAACGTAATCTTTCTTTTATTTCTTTTATGGTTTTCCAACTATTTCTTGCAATTGTATAATATGTTTGATAAGGAAATCGACTGATGATGGTCCATAGTGCTCCTCTTATAAACCAAGACTAATAGTAGTTCGTTTTATAATTATTTTTGAGTCTTTAATATGTGTATAATACTTTGGGGAAAAAAAGTAAGGTTAATTCCGTCCGGATCACGTATAGTAAAAAATCCAGATTTTAAGTGTTTATTTTTTATTTTTGGATGTGTATAATACAAGTCTTATATGTATACAAAACCACAGGTACAACCCAAGATTTCATGGCATCTAGCTGCTATTTCTTCACAACTAAATATGATTTCTTCGGAAAAAACACATCTCGATTTTTTTGGCTAATAACTAATATAAACATATCCTAAATGTATAAAAACATGATTATAACATAAATTAACTAGATAAATTACAAAGTTTTCTAATAAATATTAATCTTGAGCCATTGTAGCGAGATAACAGTTGGAAATGCTGAAATAGATGAGCTTAATAACCTGCAATTGCATTCCGAAAAATACTAATTGTTTTAGCTATTTAATGAAAAATCATTCGGAAAAATTTGTTAGATTTGTAATCTTCGAAAAAAAATATTCATTTGGAAATGCTCTTACAAAAATCGATGTAAATAAAATAATAGTAGAAACTAGAAAGTGACTAGAAACACAAGAGCACGAGTAGCACAGTGGCAGAAACACACCAAACCAATAGTTGATACTACTTGCAACGAACCTTCTCGCGCCCAAATTTACGAAATTTTCTCCCTCGATCGGTAAGTCATCAATTTCACTCCAAATTGACGAAATTTTCTCTTGTAATTTGTGCCTTTATACAAGAGATTAATTTGATTTTGATGAGAAAGTTGTATTTTAGCCTAGGGTTTTGGGTCTGGAATGGCGGAAGAAGGTCCGTGGAGTTCAGACGAGAGTTGGAGTGGGGATCTGAGCCCTCGGTCGCCTTCATCGAACGTTCTGGGGCTGGATCAGGACTTGTTCATGCATCCTGCGAGTATCCTTCAGATCATAAGGAAGGGGAAGGTGTTGCCTGCTGATGCGAAGATTTCTAAGGATACTATACAGACTTATCAGGAATGTGTTTCTCTGTTCATCAGCTTTATCACCAGCGAGTTCGTATATCATATATCTCTAATCTCTTCTCTTGTTTTCCTTTTCACCTACACAAACACAAACAAACAAGTATTATATATTATTCTATGGAAAAATGTTCAGGGCGAGTGACAATTGCAGAAAGGACGAGAGGCGAAGCCTTACTGGTGATGATCTGCTAGAGGCAATGGAGACACTAGGGTTTGAAGATTATGTTAAGCCACTTGAGGCATACCTGGAAAAATACAGAGAGGTAATGTTTCTTTCTTTGGATTTGATCATGTATTTGTGAATATGATTTGATGATAACTTCTTGCTAATGAGTATGAGTTAATGTTTTTACTTTTTTTTTCATTCCTGATTGGATCAAAATCTCAAACCCTGTGGCAGATTGAGGTTAGTAAAGTTTTTTTTGTTCACAATAAATTAAGTTACATTGTTTTGTTATAAGATGATTGAATTGATTTGTATGAATCCTGTTAAAGGATGAGCTCTTAAGATCTTTAAAAGATCACGATGAATCTGTTAGAAAAGAAGGGGTACAACTGCAGCCTGATCAAAATAACCGAGAATAAAAGTCAAAGTCAAAGTCAAGATCACAGACAGTTAGTCACTCCAATTCTCAAGGTTTTGTTTTTTTTATCAATAACTGTAGAAATTTAGAAAACATATTTGGTTAGATTAAGTTTTCATTTTCCATTTAAGAAATACATTTAACATTTTGGCCAACGTTTTTGGAAAATAGCAAAAATGACCCACCAATTTCGGAACTTATACATCTAGCTTTTTTTGGAAAAGGATTTCGAAATTTGTTTGTTGCAAAGTACTTTATGAGTTACAAACTTAGAAGCTAACTTAATATATTTTTTTATTTTTTTACTGAAACTTGGCAGCAGCAAGGCACAGATTAGCAGCTAGCTTTTTGGATGACATTATTTTTAATCTCAAGTGTCTGTGTGTGTGTGTGTGTGTTGTTAAGCTATATAATTATATGTAAATGTAATATGATGAGGTTTTTCATTTTATGTTTTGGCAACTTAAAAAGGCTTGGAATTTAAAGCATGTGTTTGGGTGATTTTAAAGGAATTGAAATTCTTGGGGTCGAACAAGGTTTTCTGAATACCTTTGTTCAAGGTATTTTGCTGAATTTCGTTTAGAATTAAATTTCCTATGTTTTTAAAACCAAAACGTGGGAATTGGTTGTTAAAACACACACACACACACACATTTCATCCGATTTAAGCCAATAATTCAACGTTTTCAGCAACATAAGAACACATTTTTGCTCATTTGAGCAAGAAGTCAACGTTTTCAACCAATTTCAGAAAATTTCAGCAATAATTTTTAGCAAAAAAGAATAGATTTCAGCAAACATTCAACATTTGCACCTTTTTCAAAAACAATTTTTGCTATTTAAGAAACGATTCAACAATTTCAGCTATTTTCATAAACAACTTCAACAAACTTTGAATGAGCAGCAAGGGAAGGAAGGGGACAGTCGTCGATGGTTGGGTATTGTGTATTCTAAGGCAGCAATCTTATCTCATGTTTAGCAAAGCGACAATGTCTCAACCATATTGGTGTATTGTGACAACGTCTCAGCCATATATCTTTGAGGGGATTGCAACATCCTCTTTTAAGGGCTAATTAACTTTGAGTAAAGAAATATAGAAGGAGAAACCAAAACTAAACTTTGAGTAGAGAAATATAGGATATGAACTTGGAGTAAAGAAATATAGAAGGAGAAACCACAACTATCAATTTACCAAATTAGAAGGATTATCATGACTTAGTAAAGATTAAATTGATACGAGTAGGAAATTATGGGGCAAATGTGTGAATAATATAAGTTCCATTAAAATACTAGTCAAATAGTGTTCATTTTAGAAAATACAAAACTTGAGGGTCTAAAGTGCAAATACGTTGAAGTAATTAAGTTTGAGAGTAATGCTCTCTCCTTTAGGGAGAATCGCGATCTAAAGAGAAAGAAGGAAGTTGTGGACGATGTCTAGCCTTTCATGGTGATTTGGAGTGAAAAGATCGGAGGAATTAGGGTTTGAAAAGAAAAAGTCCTCAAAGAGCTTGGAGTGTAGAAACCCTCTTTTTTTTCCTTGTTAAAAACTCGATCTAGGGTCTAGGTCTAGATCAAATTTTGAAAATTAGATCCTGATATGATGTTAATTGTTGATTCTAGTGCTAATTGTTGCATTTGAACTCCTAACTCCATGGGATCAAACCCTAATTGGTTGTTGTGGAGTTTGGTGAGGATTTGGGAGACTTGAAGCTATATCCATGGTGGAACTTTTAGTAATTTAGCAAGAATGATTTTGGTATTAAACAATTTGGTTCCAATGATTCAACAACAAATATACATAATCATAAAAACCATGTGATTCACTAATTAAAATACATAAGTTAAGCATGAGCTTAATCTAGGGTTTCAATGGCAACTCGTAAGAATGTGATTATGATTCCAATGTGTGACTCGAAATTAGTTGTAATTATCAAATCATTGAAAAACTAGATCATGTTAATGGTAAGATTAGGAGGAATGGGTTGATGAAAATAGATTTGGAAGTTAATTGGAAATTAATGATTTTAAACAAGCTTCTAACTACATCAACTTTAGAATCACTTATTACAACCCATGAATCCGATGGAATTTGACATTCCAAAGCTTATTATGATACTTAAGAAGTATAACAAGATTTTGTTAATTGCTTAGAAAGGTCTTTGATGATATTGAAACCATTACGAGCTTACTAGCGAATGAGTGTTAAATGCCTACATGAGCTTCCCTATATTTCTTGTGATGTCTAAATGACTTAATCATTAATTCATAATGTAACATCCTGATTCGGATTGTCCGAGATTTGGGGTTCGTGGGCTGCAACCCGAGCATGAGGAAGCCTTGGGGCTGCGACGAGTTGCTAGAAGCGTAGGGCTTCTCGTCACCTTTCCGTGGATATGAGGTTCATTGGAAACGGACTTATAACGAGGAAGCTATGGAAGTTTGAAGTTTTGGCAAGATAGGTACCTTATTTGAGAAAGGTGGCATCTGAGTACGCGGGGCGTACATGTGTGTACGCTTAGCATACTCATGTGCGTGTTTTTGACGCGGAAGCCACCTAGTACGCTGAGCGTACCAGAGGGTACGTTGGGCGTACTAGGCCCAGAGTAAAACCCTAATTTAGGGTGTGTCCCTATTTAAAGGACATGATGGCCTCATTTCTGGCCACCATTCCCAGACATGAACCCTCTCAAACCCTAATTTCTAGTCCTTGGAGCTTGTGTGTCCATTTGTGAGCTATTAAGTGTTCTTGTGTTCCTTTGGAGTGAAGAAGGAGCTTTGGAGAAGAAGGAGTGGGAGTCCAAGCTTTGGATCTGAGCTTATCTGTGGTTGGAGCTTCAGTTAGAGGTATAAAGTGTAACACCCATAAAATCAAGCCAATTTAAAACTTTTAAAAACATTTCAACCCATTAAAAATCATTACATCTTGTTTTCAAAATGTATAATATCAGAGTTTTCCCAGAAACATAAACAAAACATGAGGAGTTGTACGATCATGCATTCGCCTTGTCGCGATCCCCTGATGTACCTGAAACAATAAACTAAAACTGTAAGCCTGAAAGCTTAGTGAGTTCCCCCAAAATACCCATACCCGCAACAATACACATATAATCATAAACAACATACTATGGGTCCAGTCAACCATCGGGTTGGAATACCCCAGGCCCTCAACCATCTGGTTGGAATGCCAACATACTATGGGTCCAATCATCCTCGGGATGGAATACCCCAGGCCCACAACCAACAGGTTGGAATGCCCACATACTATGAGTCCAGTCATCCTCGGGATGGAATACTCACGGCCCACAACCAACAGGTTGGAATGCCCAGGTCTATTGGCTTTCGCACAAAGCCTCAACCACCAAACAAACATGTGCACATATAACAGATAATCACATAACAGTCTATAGACAACAACTGATCTAACGGATCATACCACATACCACATAATATTATCTTACCCTCTAGGATACCGAACTAACAGGTCATACCACATGTCACATAATGTCATCCTACCCTCTAGGATACTGATCTAACAGATCATACCAGCATAACATAACCAATAACAATTCAAAGGGTCGGCCTTGGTGCCTTAGACCCTTGAGTATAGTGAGGATAACTCACCTCACAATGTCACACTGAAAACGATAGGCTCAACTCTCGAATCACCAACACGAACTCCACCACCTATAGTTACCATAAAACCCTTTTTCCATAAATTTCCAAATTACCATAATGTCCCCAGAGGTCAACTGGTCAACCCTTGGTCAAAGTCAAAGTCCACAGTCAAAGTCAACAGTCCATGTTGACCCGACTCATCGAGTGTAGTTCACCGACTCGTCGAGTCCTTCCTGAACTCGAGAAGTCGTGAAATCCTTGGTTGACTCGTCGAGTTCCCCTATAACTCGCCGAGTTCATGCGTGTCCAAAGGTTGGGAAAAAACCCTAGCTGACTCGTCGAGTCATTCGACTGACTCGCCGAGCCCAAGGCAAACTTCATCGGACTCGCCGAGTTGTTCATCCAACTCGCCGAGTACATGACTATCTTCATATGACTCGCCGAGTCGACCTTGCGACTCGGCGAGTCCCTTCAATCCTTCAACCATGCAGATGCTTTTTAAGTCATGCAAAGGCTCCATATTGCAGATCTAAGCTCCTAGGGCATGCTTATCACGTAAAGTTGCAAACTTTACGTGCATGCAAGATGATAATGCCCCAAAACAAGCTAAAGGAGTGGCTTAAGGTAGAAGAAAGGTCATAGCTTGAGAATGACTGATACTTTATGACAATGAGGGACTAAAGGAGTCCAGATCTGAGGTTGCAAACCTCAGATCTTAACCCAAAAACGGAGAACCACCTCAAAAACCCCAAAAAGGCTCTAAACCCATTAATGAAAAGATCTAACTAAAGGAGAGTCAAGGTAGCAACTTGTTACCTTCAAAATAGTGCCAAAACAGAGAAGAATCCAGATCTACAACAACCCATTGCTTCAAACTTCTTGAACTCCAAGCCCCTTTACTCCAAAGATCTTCTTTCAAGATAAGAGACACACAAAAATAGAGGGAAAGCACAATTAGGGTTTCTGAATTCGAGGGAGGCGGTAAGAGAGGTTAGGGGGAAGTAAATGATCCTTAAATAGGGTGCAAAACCCCAGAAATTAGGGTTTCTTCCTCCAGCTCCTACTCATCGAGTCCCTTCTTGGACTCGGCGAGTAGGTCACTAAAAACACGCGGACCAACCCGCTGCTACTCGGCGAGTAGGGCAACCAACTCGTCGAGTAGACTTTGAACCAAGGAAATTCTTATTTAAAATCGATACCTGAGAATTGGGGCGTTACATAAAGCTCAAAGCTTTCTCATCCTTTTTATTTGTGCATCATT